CTCACGGTCCGACGGATCCAAATTACCTTGCACGGCTGTGGACCAAGCAGCTGTACATGGTAATTCAGACGCCGCATCGCGCTGTTGCCTCTTGGGTACGTCAAAGCTGTTGCCTCAGCCCTGTTGAGTGGTTGCCCAGGTCTGTTCGATACCGTCCAGCCCTTCAGGTCATGTCAGTAGTATGCACAGGGCGTCCGAGAACGACCCAGCCCCTCACGGGGCTCACACAGCTCCGAAAATGCTCTAAAACTGTCTATTATGACGCTATGCTATTTAAGTGTACAGGCGCGGGGTCACTCGTGCTCTTAAAGTGTTTTTTTTGTCTTGATTTCTTGTTTCTTGAGCTGTCCTTGCACTTGGTTTTGGGCTCCTTGCTCTTGTGAGACCGACTGCTGCATTCCTTTCCATCCCGCCAGAAGTGCTCTCGCAAAGTGTGGTTTGATGTGGGAGCTCACACTTTAAGAGCACCTCTGTATTGCGGGACTGTAACGACTCTTCCGCATGTGGCTGCAACTTCGGTTTGGCCAATTGGCAGCACGCGCCACTCGCTTTTGGAGCGTAGACACTCGCGGTGGGTCTAGGACCCCTAGGCGCGTGCATGGTGGTAGACGCTCCCAGTCACACCCACCCCAACCTGATCGCTATCGCTACCAACTGCCATACCACTTTGGAGTTTTGGGGCAGCCTCAGACTGTATCCTGAGAGGTCTCTCTTGAATATATGGTAGGGCAAGGAGCCCCACGCCCGTACATACTTGCATATACATCTAAAACTACCCTACTGCTATTATACAGCCAGCGCACCTTGTCCTCTCCGCGCCGTCGCTCAAAAATCCAATTTTGTGTTTTGAATGAAAAGTCAGTCGAAAAATATTGTCCAATAAGGGCGCGAGTTAATTGTGTGACGCTTTTGGACATATTTGTAATTTATGCATAGCTAGGTCAAGTCAGAAAGATAGGCGCGGTCGGTAGGATGGGACGAAGCTGTATAAGAAAGGCCCGAGTGTAGCCATGCGAAAAGGTAGGAAAAAGCAGCAAGAAAGGAACCGGACGGACTTATTGACAGACGGACAGACTACGCTACAAGGTTAGGTGGCGGGAAACTAGCGCTCTGGGCGCCCGCTCCGCGGACGCTAGGGCATGGTTGGTTGGTGTAGAGAGGGCCGACCACCTCCGCTGCGCTGCGGTGGGCTTAGAATTTCTACTCAAAGCGAAGCAACATATAGTACATGTATACTGTGATCTACGTATATTATGCTCCAAAACAGCACCGCACACAGTATCCTTAGTGCTCACATGTTATTGTAGACATGACCAGGGTTTAACGTGATCTGCAAGAAGAGCACCGTCTTACCCGGGAAGTTTTTGTCTATAATCTCGTTTGAGCGCATTGCTCCCAAAATGACACGAATCGGAGGCGCGCGTGGTTGCAAAGCTAATATATGCTGTACGGAAGACGGGTCAGTATCAATGATGCTACGAAATATACGTTGATCGGTGAGGAATCCCAGTGTAGCTAGAGTAAGTACGCCTACTCAAACGTATTTTACCCATCTGCACGTCATCGCCATGAGGCAGTCGACACATATCGCCGATTGCGACGGTCGAATAGAGCAATGTTAATCAGCTCCGCGCGCGAAGTATCTTTTAGGATAGGTAGTATATGCCGATGGTCGCCACAAACATCAATATTATGCTTTGAAATTATTCTGCTGAGCTGTTTGTGATGTAACTGAAGGGTATTTCCACTATCTTCCGCATGCATTTATCTTACTTGCTTAGCTGACGTACTTTCTGATTTATTTGTATAGCTTCTGACTGACAGAGTGGCGTAAATCCTTTCCGACTGACATTATACTGGGTCCGATATTTACGACAAAAGGCCTCGTCCACATCGGACGAAGAGGCACCACTGCGTGCACATTCTTTTGACCGGCTGCAACATACGAAGATATATGGCTGTAGGCAGAGTATCAGATCGTAGTGATGGTTAGACTTGAATTGAATAATAGTTCATGTACATTAGATGGAGTACTTTCGCTGCCTACTTATCAGCTCGGCGTGCTATTTGATGTGTCCGTGCATATCCCGCAATGCCGCCAATGGGTGTTGTCGTGATAGCCAGCACCCATGCACTGGGTTACTGCTGCGATCTCGGTACTTTTGTATCGTCGTGCTAGCCTACTGTACCTACGATTATGATGTATCCGTCTATATGATCCAGCACGTCACTTTTCGGGCACAGGTCATACCCGCGGTGATACAGGCAAGCTGATCAGGCGTCTGTTAGCAGTATTCAAAGCAATATATACGCGCGCGGCGGGTACACATTATAGCCATCCGTGACTCAACCGAGCTCTTATCTCGGCCATTATGGACAGGGCGCTAAAGTAAAGTACTGCGTACAGACACATCTCCTTGCGATGGCCGCTTGTATGGTCATCACTACCGCGTACGTGGTTGTGTTCATGTAGACAGCAGCTTATTCATCGCGCATAGTGCTCACTCAATACTGAAGCTTACATTCGTGAGCGCACATTAGTGAAATATAAACTGTGAGGGTTGGTGGTACATATAGCATGGGTTTGCGTGTGCCAAGTGAGCAAGTGTTCTTTCCATCTACGGTAACGCGTATGCAGATAGGAGCGGCCAGCTCGCAAGGGTACACAGTAGATACCATGCGCTAATTATTATATGAAACGCGCTACACTCCGTAGATGCGTCAACACAATTGGCAGCACCACAGTTAGTTTACCATATGTACGGCCCCAAGCCTCGCGCCGCCCGCCAGTAAACAAAATACAAAGATAAGCGGGGTAACGGGGGCAATAAGGATATATTATCCAAATTACTTGCTCTTCTGCTGCTTCTTTTGCTCGATGTAATTGGCGTTTCGGGCGGTCAGCTTGCGAGGGCGGCTGCGCCTCTTTTTCTTCTTGGGGTACCAGTCAGGACCCATCGCCTTCTTGACGTTCGCCAGGCTTTCCTGGCGGCGCACTTCGGCCGAATCAGGTGGTGGGGGCTTTTCCTCCCAAAACTCAACCGCTTTTTGGGCCGTTCTCGCAGGCAATTCAGCGCCGCACGATGTCCCGCCCGCTGATTGTACGGAATGCGTAGCCGTACTGCAGCTTCCCGCAGCAGACGCAGCGCGCTCGGGGGTCCGTCGTAGACCGCTGCGGGTTCAGCAGAAGCGGGTCAATCTTCGCCTCGCATTGCTTGCACGTAGGGCCCACCATTTTGCAAACTGTGCGTATGTTAGCAAAATATTTTGTTTTTACCAATTACTTGCGTCCAAATATTAGCCAATAGCTTGGAAATATAAGGCTGGTATTTATTATTTAGAAACATATTAAAAAGTTGATACTAACGTTTTGGCTTTGCTATAATATATTATTATCAGATTTCCAAACAAAAACATACTTTACATGCAATATAAATTGCCTAAGACAATTATCTATCGTGCGCGCATGCATCTGTCGGGTGTGGTGCACGGGAGCAGATAGCGAAATGCCCGTGCAGCTGCGCGCCTTCATTGCACGGTGGCAGTGGTGATTTCCAGGTAAAGTACAAAATATATATATTCGCAAAGTCGCTACAAAAAGCGCTGGTCGTGAAGTCTACTTTAATATTAAAAATACTATCGTCTCTACTTTAGAAAGTGTGTGGAAAATAGCATCGCCGAGCTCTTACAAATGCGGCCTGTGAAGCTTATATTAATCAGATTAGTACTATTAATATCGTCATTACTTCGAAAAGTGTGTGGAAAATAACATCCCAGAGCTCTTACAAAGTACTGGTCTGTGAAGTCTACATTAATACTGTAATGATAAATATCTCTATTTGAGAAGTGTGCAGAGCTCTTAGAAAATAAAGTGGTTAGTGTGCCCGATTTGCAGTACATACGACAGGTTTTGCGCAATAATCAAGTATCTGCGCAGCTCGCCTGGCCGTTTGCATCCAATCGGTGCGTTTCGTGCTCGGCAGAAATGTTTACATCACGTCCAATCGCGAGGGCGAGAGACGGTCTGATCGTGCAACAGATCCAGTCAGTGTCGCAGGTCGGCAGGTATTGCCCAATCAGGGCGCGAGTTAATTGTGTGACGCTTTTGGATATATTTGTAGTTTTGGCATAGTTAGGTCGAGTCAGAAAGATAGGCGCGGTCGGTAGGATGGGAGGAAACTGTATAAGACAGGCCGAGTGTAGCCATGCGGAAAGGCAGGTCAAAGCAGGAAGAAAGGAACCGGACGGACTTATTGACAGACGGACGGACAGACAGGTTACTCGGTAAAGGTTACTCGGTAAGGAAGCGGGAAATAGATTAGTGGCTTCGGGAGAACTTGCTCCTCGAGCGTTGGAAAGGCAACAGAGGAGCGATAGACATGGCTAATCTTGTGAGAGTTAGTAGTTTGAGGTGTGTGCGCAGTGAAAAGTGAGTTTGCGTCGGTGGCATCGGTTTGCAGAGAGCTCAGAGCCAGCGAAATTCTGGTGGCTGCCCAACAAGGACAATAAATTTCGTGAAGGAATGCACAAAATCCATATATAATTTTTTTTATGCTGTGCCAACTCATAAAGTAATTTATTTTCTTAAGTAAAAACAATATATTTTCAGTAGATATATTTTCGAGGATCCCCGCAATGCAGTGGCGACTTTTTGGTTGTCCTGATTACGACAAGGTTGTAGGGCAGACTTATCCCCAAAGAGTTTGCAGGATCAAAGAAAGCGACCAGGCATTGCCTGGCAGGCAAATCACACCTGTTACGAAGGAGAAAAAAGCGTACCGTATGCGCCAAGCAGCATCAGCGTTACCAAGCTTTTAGAAAATCACTTTGGTATGTAAAATGCATCACAATCTGTACACAGTATGTGTGGCCCACACATCGTACGGATTTAATCGAAAACAATCTTGACCTCCGTATGCTCCCAAACCTAACCATTTCAAATGATGGCTACAGAACCTTGTTGCCACTTCGCCCATCATCTGGAACGCACTTCCTTTCCACCGGGTGGGGGTGCGTCAGAGTCCACTCAGAGAGTCACGTGAGAGAACGATGTCGTCTCGCCACAGCAGCCGCAACTCACTTATGTGGCCATTAGCATGTGTGTGCTGCTTCGCCTTGGGGCTCCTCTCGTCCTACGCGAGCACCAATTCGCTCGCATCTTTCCAGGAGAAGGCTATACAGGTCAAGAGCAACTTGCTACGGGCCAGACCGTCGACGTGGCAGAGTTTATACGACGTACAACAAAGCAACAGCTCCGTTGTTGAGAACGACTACGCCCGGGGTATTATCGTGTGTCTACACAACGGTATCGTGGCTATGGGCGTGTCACTCATCCGGGAGCTGCGCTGTCTGGGCAACACGGAGCTTATCCAAGTGTACCATTGCTTTCCCCACGAAATGTCGGACGAGAGTCGAGCGCTGCTAACGCGTAACGACTCGAAAGTGGAGATCGTTGACGTGTGTACCGATATTTTGGCCAAGAAGGGCCCCGAGAACCTCTTTTTGGGCAACACCAAGACCGCCAAAGCCTTCCAGAACTACTGGATCAAACCCTTGGCGCTGTATCATACCAAGATTCGAGAAGTGATTTTAGTGGATGGAGACGCAGTGTTGCTACAGGATCCGTCGATTCTGCGACTTATGTCGGGATATCAGCGCACAGGCACCACCTTTTTCCGTGATCGCATTGCCAAGATGAACAGGTTTCTCAACAAGAAGAAAGAAGATGGCAAGTTATACATCAAGCATCTGGTTGACTCGTTCCCATATAAAAAACTCGGTCTCAAAGGCCCAAAGCCATCCGAAGAACTCAAGAATTCTTTCTCGTGGAGAGGAGATACAGGCCACGAGATGGACTCGTCCATGGTGTTGGTGGATAAAACAAGAGCGGGCAAGGCCTTGGCAGTCCTGAAGGAGTTAATCATTAACACACGTTTCCGCTTACAGTTCTCGTGGGGAGATAAAGAGTCCTTCTGGCTCGCTTATGAGCTGGCGCATCAGGACTATTTCTTCTCTCCATGGGGTCTCAGTCTGCTGGAATCAGTGCCAAATAACGACCTCGCACACCCGAACACCATGTGTGGCAGTATGGCGCATTTCGTACCTACGGAGAACGAGACGGACACGGCAGAACTGCTTTATGTCAATGGCAAGGCGCTGTTGGAGCCCTATCCGGCTGGGGTGGAGAAGACTGTCAAGGGCAAGAAGTCGAGAATGTTTAACTTAAACCCGACCCACTTAACGCCGCGATATCGACACGACGACTTCGATCTGAAGAAATCCAAGTCGTTTGAGTGCATGGACGATCTGGGATCTGTGCCACTTCCTCATTACTTCTTCGGCCGTCTACTTCGACGTCGATTCCACTACTTTGCAGCAGAAACAAACGCGTACGAAGCGTTGGGGGATTGTCCCGAACGGACAAGTTAGACTTTTAGACTGGGCATTGTAATGGAGCCATCGTCTCGTCCCATCCATCAATAAGGATGATGGGTAGTGACTGGCTGAGTATGTAGAATGTGACTCAAATGTACAGACGCTTTTGATAACCTTGAGACCGGGAGCTTAAGGTTTTTGTCTCACTTCAGTCTTCTTTTTGCTAACCGAGAGAATAACAGAAAGAAGGAACATGGACGTTAATGTACAGGCTGGTGGTGACGGCCCTGTGGGTGTTGTACCATGTGAGAACTGTGGCAAACCATCGCACAAGCGGTGCAGTCGTTGCAAGGCGTTTGCTGTGTGTGATAAGGCGTGTATGGCAGCTATATGGCGCAGACACAAGCCGGACTGTAACAATGTGGTGGCAACTCAGAAGCAGTTAAACGAGGCAGGAACTTCCGTCTCTGGCGTGCCGTGGTCGATTGATCCGGATGCTTTTTTCCGTCTCAACCGTCTAAGCCTGGATGTGTACACGAAATATGGCGTGGAGGAACCTCCTGGACGTAAATCCAAGATGAATGTGGACAAGAAGTCAGCGTTCTTTCTGGATTTCCTCAAGGTACACGATAGCTCGTCGCCTGAGAACAAGAACGCTCCTCTTCCTGAGAAGTTGTTCCTCAACCGTCGGTACAACAACGCGTACAGCCACGCGATGAAGACGTTGACTTTCCTTGAACTTGATCGTCTCAATGCACTGATGCAGAAGCACCACATTGGTACGGCGAATCGCATGTGTCAATGAGCAAGAGTTCCACAAATGGAAAGTGCCGTGCATAATTAAGATGAAGTTTAATTTTCGAGATGATTTGACGCATTCTTTACCAATAAAGTGCGATAAACTGCTGTCCTCTCCAGTTTCCAAGCTTCCCGTACCTTCCAAATTTTGAGTTTAGGATAAAGGTTTTTTCGCTCTTGGTCCATTTTAAGCCAAGAATCTGCGAAAGTGCCTGAACAAAACTATCGCCACTTGCATTAAGAAACTGCAATTGTTCTTTTTCTGATAGGAACGATGTCTGGTCACCCCGTTAATATGTGCGAGAATTGTGGGGCTTTATCACCGCAACGCTGTGGTCGATGCAAGGCGTTCTTCATTTGCAGTCGGGAGTGTATGAAGGCCGTCTGGCGCCGGCACAAGCCAGACTGTGATAAGATCGTAGCGGCGACGGAGTATCTCAAATCGATTGGAGACGAAGGGTCTGGCGTGCCATGCATGATCTCAGCTGGGGATAAACTTCTCCTGGACAATCGCTGCCTTGCGGTCTACCAGAAGTACGGGGTGACCGAATTACCTGACTGGAACTCGACAATCAACGCGGTCGAGAAGTATCAGCTCTTCCTGGACATTTTGCGAGAGAATGACACGTGCTCCGGGGTCGGTCGCTGCCTGAAAAGCTTCTACTGAATCGCTACTACAATATCATGTACCAACGCGCTAAGGAGATTTTCACGCCTAACTAATTTGCGGAACTTGACGCGCAGATAAAGACGGATCACGCTGGTGTCGTGAGTCGCTAATGGATGGCACACATCTGCTTGAGTACGGTGACAGTACTCAACTCACGTAGAATGAGCGTTTCGTGTATGAGATTCGAAAGAGAACTTTTAAAATTTAAAGGTAATGAGCGTGTCTCGATCATTTTTATTCACAGTACTGTATAAATACCCGCCAAGCGTGCAACAGAGAGTGCACCCATGATGTGATTGGTGGAAAATATGTTTTACTGAATCTGACCGCCAAATCATTAAGACCCCCGATTTGGCGGGACAATTCTGACAATATCTCGGCTTCTAGCCTGAGTTGAGAGCTGCTACTTTGATATGTTCTCTCTACTAGGCTTACAGAGGTGCCACTTGTGTTAACAACTTAGATTTCTATGTATCTGACAGGGCTGGTATACAAATTCAAGGTTTGGACATCAGCGTCAAATTATTAAGACCACATCCTTTTTATGACGAAAAAACACTTTTATGAACAGACCTTACAAATTTCTATATTAAAAATTAGTACTTAGTCAGACCACATTTCTTCTTGATCACCGCTAGACAGCGGCGAGGCATGGACTCTATCAGCTTCAGCAAGTAGTCTAGCTGAATGGAGTCCCATGCAGCCATGATTGCTGCCTCCAGATCAGCAACGTTTTGGTACTGGCGGCCATGTGCATACACCTTGGCCGCCATCGCCGACCAGACGTTCTCGATGGGGTTGCAGTCAGGCGAGCGAGCTGGCCAAGCCATGGTGTTGAGTTGCATCTCCTGCAAGAATTGCTTCGTTTCATGCGAGGCATGAATCGTAGCATTGTCTTGCTGAAATACAAAGTCAACACCATAGTTAGCGTAAGCAAAAGGGAGTAGATATTCAGATAACGTGTAAATATAGTCACCTGAATTCTGACGTCCACGCAAGATGGCCAGCTCACTCTTACCTGCTGCACTAAAAGCGCCCCACACCATGACGCTCCCTCCTCCATTTTGGCGACGCAGATAAGACTGTGCAGGCTGGCGCATGTCCCGCCAGTAATACTTGAATCCATCAGGACCATCTAGATTTAACTTCTTTTCATCTGGAAAAATAGTGTAAATCCAAGTTTCTAAAAAAATAAATATTGTTATAATACAAAATTGCAGCAAAACTTTAATATGAGAGGCTTACCTGGCTTCAGTATGTAATCTTCCGCCCATTGCATGCGGGCAGCCTTGTGCGCTGCCGTGAGGGGAAGCGTGCGGTCCATCTTGGTGTAAACCAGATGGTCCACACGCTGCAGAACCCGCTGGATCGTCCTCACGGACGCCTTGATGCCGAACTTCGTCTTGAGCTCCGCAGCAAAGAACTCACCTGTCGCCGCGGCACGCACAAGCTGCCGCAGCTCTCGTTCCGTCAGTGCCGGTTGCCGCCCAGCCCTTCGCTCTCCACCCCTGTCTTCCTTCCGTCCCCGCTCCGCCTTGACTGCGTTCCGGACGGACGTACGGGACCGACCTGTCTTCCTAGCGATCTCGTGCAGAGAGACGCCTCCGTCGTGGAGACCGACGATAAACCAGTACTCTTGTTGGGAGAGGGTCTTGCCGTGGCCCATTAGAAAATGAAAGGCTCACAGCCTCCGTAGCGTCTAGCTACCCGCTCATTTCCGCCAACCATCTACTTATTTTGACCATCACTCTTTTAATATAGAAATTTGTAAGGTCTGTTCATAAACGTGTTTTTTCGTCATAAAAAGGATGTGGTCTTAATAATTTGACGCTGATGTCCAAACCTTGAATTTGTATACCAGCCCTGTCAGATACATAGAAATCTAAGTTGTTAACACAAGTGGCACCTCTGTAAGCCTAATAGAGAGAACATATCAAAGTAGCAGCTCTCAACTCAGGCTAGAAGCCGAGATATTGTCAGAATTGTCCCGCCAAATCGGGGGTCTTAATGATTTGGCGGGCACTGTACTAAGAGCTACAATCGAAGTGACAAATGACCACCTTGCTTGTCTCGGCGAAGAGCGACTAGAACTTTAGTCACAGGAAGCTGTCGACCGTATGCCGCGTATACTTTGTCGATAGCAACATCACTGGTGAATCCCGCGCGAACAAACCCAGAGAATACATCCCAGAACACTTTGCGGCGCGAGTAGGCAAACTTGTTGGCTCCTCGCTCGGCACCTGTAAACTCTTTCGCTGACTTTAAGCCGTTCAAGCCGAACTCTTACTCCCCCCACAACTCGTACAGATCCTTCGGTCTTTTCGACAGTATCGCGTGGTGAGCTTCGTGCGCAGCACTGCCATCTGTGCATGCTTCGGTGGTCACGATCGAATCGGGCAACACTCTCCTCGCAACAGGCTGTAGCGCAATACGCCGTAATACAGCCAATCCCTTTTGATGGTTTCGCTGGCTTTCGGTACGCGAGCGGAGGGCCTCGCTCAACAAGCCAGCAACTTGGCGTTGCAGGCTAAATAGCTGCGAATGGAGTGCAACGAACTCTTTACGGGTGCTGTCCGCAGACATGTTGCTCTGAGTCCCATGCGTTTGCTCAGACTCGTTGCCATCGGTGGGGGTATCACGAATGTCAACAAGCCGAAGCTGTGCACCGTCACCGGTAACGTGTAAGGGCACACGCTCAACGGGATTCACAGCAACGTTTTCTCCAGCGTTGATGTAGGCTCGTACAATGCGTTGCTTGAGCACACTCGGAAGAAGGTCGTAATCAAAACTTCCATCCGGGACGAGAGATGCCCAAAGTAGTGGCAGAGCGAGCACCTTCACAACTTCCTCCCCCATCGCTTCCTTAATTGCGGGTCCGACTTGCTTGACCAGTAACTCCTCCGTAACGGCATGAATACCCTTTTTAAGTACGTAACAGCATGGCCCAAGCGGGCCAGTCAGTGCCCCAGCAGCAACACCATCCATATACGGTTGGGTGTTGTCGATATACACGTCGACAACGCTCTTCCGTGTACGCCACCTTCCACGCCGGTTGACGTAGTCCTTGGGCAGACCACTCCTGCTGCCATACGTAGCAGCACCTTTTCTCAGACAATGTGTGCCTAAATTTCCCGGCTTCAGCTTGTGAAAGTCGGGCCCTTCAAAAATGTCCTGCAGAAAGCGGCGGACAACCCGATCACCATCCTTGGGGTTGCCGAATACGTATGATGAAAGTGACACTTTACCCGCTATTTCCACATGCACCGCTAAATTATGTAGAGCGCAAACGCGAGGATCCATGCTTCTGAGTACGATATGCTCCGGTGCGTCGCGCTCTTCAGATATGTTCTTAGACCAGCGTAACTGGCAGAGGAGGGTTCCCGGGTGCTGAATGTTGCAAGAAAAACTGTCAAACTTTAGTTTCATCATATCATCGATGCGTGCAATGAGATGCCATTGCACAAAAAGAACAACCAAAACTAAATATTTTAGCGCGCTTTTGTCGGATGCTGAGCGGGACAGCTTGAGTAGGCTGACATATTCTTCATATTCAACCGGGCGTCTAGCTGCTGACTGCACGCCTTCTCGCCGAACTTCGCTGCGTCTCACCTTCTTTATCACTGCATAAACTGATTCAGAGCGGGTTGGGTTGCCCTCATTGCAAATGGGGTCCCATGGTACAGTGCGTCGTGGCATAAAGGACGAGAGTGCCTTCTTAGCGTACTCTAAGGTGGACGCCTTGGTGTTCACTGGCTTGGCGTCCTCCGTAGGCGTCTCTTCCCCAAATGCACGCATATTCATCCAGCGGCACACAACGTCGGGGGTGACCTCCAGTAAGTCGCTCTTGCTGAAAACAGTATCTGTGCTGAAGGGATGTCCTGCTTTAAACGCCATAAACTCGATGAGAATAGACTTGTATCGCTTTGTCTGCATCTTGCTTGCTTCGATGTTTCTTTAATTGTGAGGGTGGTGGGATTTTTTTGCTACCCACTTGAGAGCCACCACTTGATTTTGTGTATGCGCAAGTTGCAAGAGCCAGTGAAAATACAAACCCCCAGTGCAACTATTTTCGCAAGTGATACAGGTTTTTTTGCAGACGTATCGCTGTCGCGGGAGCTGGAACTGTGACCACAGCACCTGATCCGCCAATAAGAATGTGATACAGAAATCTGCCTGAATAAGGAACGGGGTTTCAACTAATAACCTCGCAATTTTTATAGTCGGGAAAGATTTAGGGAGATGGGATAGTGATGGGCAAGGTAAAAAACAATCCAATTAAAAAAATGGACGCGCAGTAGTTCGCTTCCTACATTTACATTCAACCTCACTAGCCGACTGCGTCTTCAGCACCCCCATGTCCTCCAATCGTCTCCGCCTCACCTGATCCGAGAAGGTAGCCATCCTCGAGAAGACTGCTCGCTCACCTAGTCTGTCGTATAATGAGCTAGCTGAGTGAATCGCCTAGGCGAAGGCCGTACAACGTCGACCAGCTAACTACACTGCTATGGTGCGATGCTGCATGGTCTAAAGTTAGCGCTTCCACGATTCAGCACTGCTGGAATCACTCTGGTCTCATTCAAAAGTCGAATCTTCAATGTATCCTAACTTAATTCAATACATGCCCATGATCCGATATTATAGTCTGTTTTTAGCGAGGCATTGTCAGCTTATGCAATCTCTTTTTTAATTTATATCAGGCGTTCCTTATTCAGGCAGATTTCTGTACAGATAAAAATACAACCTCGGTTGCAAATGGCCGGTTATGTATTGTGGTTTTCATCAATTTTGCCGCCCGATTTGCTGTGTTATCTCGGGGCCCGATTTTAATAAATTGGGCTGGGTGTAGGGTAATAAGGCTTGAATTAGCTATATGTGACCCTACTTAAGGTCTTAAGATGACCTTACCACCCACAACTCAGTTTTACTTATTGAGGAAGAAATAAACACTAAACGTATGCATACTGTAGCGCGATTGCCGAGTAAAAGGGTGCTATAATTCTCCTATGGCGGTTAGACTGGAAGTGTTCTAGCAAATGAGTTTGGGCAGATCACTTATGCCGTCCAAAGACGGCAATTCTGGCACTTCCCCTTTAATTCGAAGTGCCCATCGACATATCGGGCCCGAGATAGCAATCTTGTCTTACCCCTACTTTCTATTTCGACGGCGTTCAGCAAATCGGATCCGATATAGTGGATCTCGGATCATCCGCTTTGCCAAAATGGATGAAAACCTTAATAACAGGATATTGTTTATGCCACTCGTTTTACCCGTGACTCATACACCATAGAATAGGAAAGATGATGCGGTAAAGCGGTTTTCATAGGATAATCACTGCTCGGTATCGTCAAATTCAGCAACACATTGTCAGGGCTAAACGTTGGTAAGCATCGTTGAAATCATGCTTAGTCACGGAAGAAATTGCCGCTGCTGAGCCTCATTTCGATATTGTGACCGATGACGATAACATGGGCGCGGATGGATCGCAGCAAGCTAATATGGCTGCTGGCTTGTGTTTGGTGTTTCACGTCTGGCGTCATCCTGTGCTACGTGAGCACCACGTCGTTTGCTGCTACTCAGTATCATCCCTTGCCGAAATCCTACTGGCCTCGAACCAAGACGCTGCGTCTTCCGCAGCTGCACGATGCAACTGAAGATAAATACGAACGAGGCATGATCATGTGTCTGCACGATGGAATCGCTGCCATGGGTGCGTCACTTATTCGAGAACTACGCTGCTTGGGCAACACCGAAATCATCCAAGTGTACTACTGTTTTCCAGACGAGATTTCGGCGGATAACAGGGAACTTCTGACACGCAATGATTCCAGAGTGGAACTCGTCGACGTGTGCACGGATACTCTATCCAAAAATGGGTCTGAAAATCTATTCGAGGGCGACGTGAAGTATGCCAAAACCTTCCAGAGCTACTGGATCAAACCACTAGCGCTGTATCACACAAACATCCGCGAAGTAATTTTACTGGATGCAGACGCAGTACTATTGCGCGATCCGGCAGTACTCCGCACAATGACGGGCTATGTGCGAACAGGAACGACGTTTTTCCGAGATCGAATTGCCAAGATGAACGCATTCTTAACCAAGTTGGTGAAAAGTGGTGAGACGAGCTTGCACCACTTGATTGATAAATTCCCGTACGACAAGTTTGGATTGAGTGGCGCTAACGCTTCGGAGCAAGTGAAGAAAAAGTTTTCGTACCGAGGGGAGACAGCCCACGAAATGGACTCGTCCTTGGTGTTGATCGACAAAAAGCGAGCTGGTAAGGCTTTGGAAACCTTGCGGGAGCTGATCTTTATTACCCGATTTTACTTGCAGTTCTCTTGGGGCGACAAGGAAGCATTTTGGCTCGCGTATGAGCTGGCGCATCAAGATTATTTCTTCTCTCCTTGGGGAATGAGCCTAATTGAATCCGTACCAAACAACGATCGGTCGCACCCGAATACCATGTGTGGAAGTATGGCGCATTTCATGCCTACTGAAAACGATACAGAAGTACCGGAGGTGCTGTATGTTAACGGTAAGGCACTGCTACAGCCATTTCCGAACGGAGTGGAGAAAACCATTATGGGCCAGCGCACACGTATGTACAATCTGAATCCGACACAAATCTCACCAAGATTTCGCCACGACGACTTTGATCTCTCTAGCTCCAAGACCTTTGAATGCATGGACAACATGGGCTCTGTCCCACTGCCTCCCTATTTTTTCAAACGTCTGTTACGCCGACGATTCCATTACTTCGCTGCGGAGATGAACGTGTATGATGCCTTAGATGCGTGTCCGACGCAGATAGATTAATTAAAAAGATCGAATTACTGAAAGAAGAGTTCAATGCGCATAAAAATTATTGAACTTCTACTGTAAGTAGTTTTTCGTCAGTGGGTAACTTTTTCTTAAGATAAACGACGTGTAAATCATTTTTTTTTATCTTGCATCATTTTACCAAGAATTCAATGTGCACGATTAGTTCACATACGAAAAGTAAAGCTCCATTCACTCATTCCCTGCAGTGGAAAGTTCACTTATTTCTCTTCACTCAGCAGATACCATCTCTGACTTACGTTCACTCGCACGCGACTGCAGGACGGCAGTTGTTCTGCCACAGTCGACGACGCGCGTAGCTCGTGGCGAAGGACGCGGACGACCACGGACCCGTGTACGTGCTTGCGTAGATCCATCCATGGTCGTCCCCCTTCTTAGTAGAGTAAGCCCATCCAGACCCTTCGAGACCTTCGGGGACTTCCGGGGCTACTTGGTCAAAGTTGTCGGAGGACGTCTGGAGGTCCAAGGTGCTCCAATGACGACGCTCGTTGTTGTGCGACGGCGTCCACTTGCCGTCCACATAATCCTCGTTCTCCCAGATACACAGCGTCCTCTGTCCATCTGTCTCTTCTGCAAAGCAAATGTCCAACTGGATCGTCGTCTTCTTATCGGGAAACTTGGCCGCGGTCTTTAAAGCTCCCGGGACTTTTAGCTCATAGGTCTCAACGACGGCCTCATTGGGACGTCGCTCGAAAGTGGACAGACGGAGACGTAGATCCCCCAGCAAGTCGTCCATCTTGAAGCGGTCATTGTCCACCACTTGGATCAGCAGCTCGCGCTCCACGTTCCGCGACGTATGCGGCACCTCAAATTCGAACGTCTCCGCCGGCTGCCACACAGGATCGAGCGCCTCGCTGATGCAAGACGAGCGTAGATACTCGTCACCTAGCTGGAAGGTCACAAAAGGGTCGCTGGCACTGCCCTGGATGAAGGTGTCGGCGACAGGCAGGTTGCTGGCGCGCAATAAGGTCACGATGAGCTGGGGCATGTCTGTTTAAGCTTACAGTCAATTTTAGGATACTATTTTGGTGATGTCGAGTCCTGCGTGAAAGACATGGGTGAGCATATCAATTAAAGATGATTATGCTTAGATAGAGATATTCTGACCCTCTTTTTCGCGCAGGGGTTTCTTATTTAATGTAATAGTTTAAATACGCATATTAGATGTGACAGGTTAAGTGTCTTCGGTTTTAGATTTTATAATCGGACGTTAATGCGCGTCTCGCTTACTTAATATCTAAGAGCCGCGTATTAGTTTTGGCAATAAGAATCCTCGCTGCTCTGCTGGGTCGGATCTCCACCACTAACGCTAGAAATCGTCGGCGACGGTGTGGTGTTATCATCTCCGAGCGGGGTTGGCGCGGGCGTAGCACTGTCATTCTCTGTAGCAGTCGGTGTCGGCGGAAAAGTGATGTCTCCCCCACTGCCGCTACTAGACTGATCAACCTGGTCCACATTATTGGTGGTTGAGGGGGCTGAAGTGGCATTAACAGAGCCACTTTCTCCACTACTGCCATCCTTCTGTCCGACGCCTGCTTCGCCACTACCGTTGACGCTGTTGTCACCGTCTTTGTCGTGAATCTTAACGTGCAGCACGATCTTCCCTCCTTCTGACGAGTGCGGCACCCACATCAACAGCGATCCACCATCCGAGCCAGGCAGTCCAAGAAACCTTGCACGCCATCGGTGCATGTACAACGTCTTGTCCTGAAGCTCTTTCACCGTCGAGTTCCACGTCACAGTCTCGCCTCTACCCACATCCACCTTCGCCACCGTGTCGCCACCAGAGTGAATATGCACCGTCACGTCTTTCGAGTCAAAGCTCTCGAAAATGACCGTCACACTGCCATCACCGACCTTGTTCCAAGTTCCATAACTACCCTTGAATACATAGCCGTCTGTCGTGAGTGCTAGTGCGTCATCCAACGAGCCGTCGTCGATCTCGCCCATGAACGCCGTGGGCCCGCAGATTGGCTGGATGAACGTAGACATCATTTCAGCGATCCCCGTCGGATCAAACATGGCAATGACATCCAATCCCATGTCAGCCACCTTAGCTAGGTAATCCACCGTCGAGATCGACTTGCCATCGTCGTCCACCGAGCCTTCCACAAGACCATCTGTAATTGTGCTCACAACGGTTCGTAGGCTGTCACGAGTACTAAATGCATCGTCTGTAAGGTTCCGGACACAGTTGTTGGTCACAGCGGGGATGTCACTTAGGAACAGCTCGGAGACGCTGAGAGCCTGACGAATGGCGCTAATAGTGGTAGCTGGGTTCCCGCTTTTGGCGTCGATGACGAACTGTGTCACCTTGTGGATGATGGTTTGCAGTTTTGTGCCGCATGTAGCACCCGACGTGAGGACATCTTGAAGCTGAGTCAAACTGTCCTGGTCGAGTTTTTGGACGGAATCGTCGACTCCGAGATCTTTGATAAATGCCAAAAAGTTACTTGGGTTCAGCAACGCTGTACCATCCTCGATCGCTGTTGTGACGATTTGCTTGACGACGTTAGCGATTTCAGCTCTCGTTTCTAGGTTGGCGGTGTTTACAGGGATGTTCAGGCATGTGCAGACGGCAGCAGGTAGTTCATTGACAACAAGGTCCGACTGATTCACTAAGCTCAGCAACTGCTGGCTTTGAGTCTCGTTGGCTTGCAGTTCACTAACATAACTCACAAGGGAGCTCGTGGCAGTGAAGAGTTTCTGGCCGCACTTGACGCCGAGCTGAATAGCTTCACTCACCTTGAGAAACTGTCCAAAAACACCCGCCGTAGCAGCGTTAAGTGCCACCGTTGCCACCGATTTGACCTTGGTAAGGACCTCTGAAGTGCAGTCTGCGCTTTGAGGGATGCACTCCATCCCACACTCGACAGGGTAATTTAACGGACACTGTGCCCAACATGTGGCGACGTGGTCCGACTCGTAGCCTGTTGCGCAGGTCTTCGTTGACAGGTATGTCTTGCGGTAACAAGCCGATTCGGACGCGTTGACTGGGCTCACCCAGTTGGGGAGATCGACGTTAGCCTCAGCAGTGGACGTCGCAATGGCGATGGTTGCACTAACCAGCAGTGGTAGCCGCCAAAACCGAGTGTTCCGATGTTCGACAGCCATCGAGTGGAGGTAGGATATCGAGATCGTAGTAAATTGAAGAATAATGCAATGTTGGCAAGAGAGGTCGCCTGTACCGGTACAGTACATTCACTTCCAAGCTGACAACGACAAAGGAACAACAGACGTCATTCGTCGACGAGCACAACAAGGATGGGGCACCGGAGCACCGCTGCCCATACAAATGCATGGGTACGGTTGCAGTTGTTTGGTGTTTCGAGTTTTCTTACCAACATACGGGTCTGTAGCATAAAGTGGATTATTGAGTCGATAGGTTTTATCCATGTAACAGTGCTCCATAGCGGAAGATGTAGAAACGGGAGGAAATACCATCGGTCAGTAGAAAACTACTGATCTGTCCCCAACGCGGCGCAGAAAAGACGGCAATCAGTCGAAAATGATAAAGTTCGATCCGTTCCTAACTCTAATCATAGCTACATTTCTGCTGCCTTCAGCAAAACCGCTTTTGCCCTAAGCGTACCATGCCTCGAAAGCCGCCTCCGAATTATGGGAGTTCTCCCTTCGTGGTAGATCTTTCTGACATCGCTACAGCTATAAGCATGGGTGTTTTGAGGGAGGACGCAGAAGTTGATATTTCAGACCGCTCCAGCCAAAAGTATGGGGGGTATACGCGACGCGAACCAATATTGCAGACACTGAGTTTCCAACACAAATAAGAAAACTAACGACACAAACAATTGCAATCGTTGAGTGCTGATTAATAATTAAGGTATTTCTTTCCCATAGATTATCTTACTGATCCTCACTCTCAATAAATATCAGCAGCAAACGGACTGGGGAGTCAATCTCTGTGAGTAGATAGAGCTCTACTAACGTACCCTGAGAGTAACCAGTTGGATACGTCGTGTACCCAGCTATTTCAACGTCAACATGTTAATTCGGTGTACTATTTTTTAGCTGCTCAAAACGCCTTTATCTATTTTTGTGGAGTGCACGTCGGTGGCATTCGCCATTTTGGTCGATGCCTCCGCTCAACCTCCGACAGCGTCACGCCCGAACGATCCAGCGCCGTCTGGACGGCTCTTTTTGGCAGCTTCGTCTAAGCAGAGAAGTTAGCATACCGAACGAAGTCGACCGAGAGCTGGACGCCGAGCGTGCATCGTCCATAGGTGGTGGGTTACGTGACGTTGTCAGTAGAGGAGGAGGTCTTTTTGCAAACGAGCGCCGAGCTCGTAGAGGAGACAATGCTCAGCTCTTCGAGGTAGAAAGAATATACGCCAAGCGGTGGGTCAATAACTTCGTATACTACCTTATTCAATGGGTGGGGTACACAGAGTTGACGTGGGAGCCAAGTACCAACGTGCCAGCGCGCCTAAAGATGGTGTTCGAACACGCGTCAGTCAATTTCGTCTGGGTCTATCAATCTACGCCGGGAAGACGAACCCAGCGTCGCGAGCAGCCAACGCGCCGGAGTCAGAGACTGTTAGACCAAACGAGGCAGGACAAAGAGAAAATGCAAATGCGAACTTAACACCAAACGAGGCAGGACTAATAGAAAATGCAAATGCGAACTTAACAGCACTCCAGTAGCTGTGAAATCAGTAGTTGTGCAGGCAGCGCCGCGTTGGGGACAGATCAGCTTTTTTTCTACTGACCGATGGTATTTCCTCTAGAAACGGTCTGTGGTCAAGCTGATCTTTATTTGACATGTGCATGTGAGTTGCTCATTTTCTTAGTTCACTCCCTATTATTAAAAATTACTACTTTCATAAAAGATTATTTATAGAAATCCTTAATATGTTTATCAAGAGCACGGAAATATTACTGACAATTTTGCTGTGATGTGCGAAAACCGTATGGTATCTTGATTTTATTGATAGAAATAAAACAATTCTCGATACATATGTTTTAGTATTATTAATAGCTCAAGTTTCCAGGGTCTGATATGGACGTACGGACCATTCTTGTTGGAACGGATATGAAAGCCTTACTTTCTTTCGAGTCAGCTAGGCGCGGGAAATAATTAATTCGAAATGTATTTGCTAGTGCCAGATCTCACGCTTCCAGAAGGGGTAAATGACAAAATGTGAGTGGATACACTAAAGTTGTGACAGAAAGTTAAAGGTGTGCCAAAACGTGAGCAAAGTGGGGTCGGTATCGCCGGTAGGTGTACCAAGTGAAATTCGCGTCAGTAAGTGAGGAAGTTAGGGAACACACGTCACAATGTGTGCTCCAAATGATTGAATGGCTGAAACAAGGTGGGCCGGACTTAAACCCAAAACCTGTTGTATACTAGTGTTCGACATGCGTATGAAGACCCAAATCGTACACTTTTGTGGAATAGCACACTAAGTATCAGACGACATTGCCTGAACAGACTCAGCGAATACCGAGAGGAGGCGCGTGCCTCGATGGCTCCTGTTTCGCTCTCGCGTGCCTCCAAGACATATCGGCAACCCGACCGGCGACAGTGAGCGGGCGGCACACGCCGGCGACCAGGAGTAGCCGGTGGCACGCGGCTACTGAAGCAGCAGTAGGAAGGACAGGTACTGCTGCCGCAGGAGCTCGTAGATAAGGATAGTTTGAGGATTCTTTGACTAATCTCACTTCGCAACTTGGTATACGGCGCGCAGTACGTCATAACTCTTAAGTCCCAAAGCCACTTATTACGACTGAGGGACGCAAAATGACGGAGGACATCGACGACATCGCTGATGGATTGGACAGCGGCGATGAGGAAAACACTATTCAAGTCGGAATAACTTTTGATACTGCTTCACATGCTCTTCATGCTGTTCAAGACTACGCCTTATCTCATGGGAGGTCTGTACAGTACGAGTTTTACGTGCGTGTCTATACTCAGTACTGCGACCTCTGCAGCATAACATGGTTTCATGCAATATCAGTGTCTGGTGAGCCACAAGAATACACCGCTCCAGGTCCGGATCACCTAGCCCCCTGAGTCAGAATAATTAGCGCGAGTTAACCTGACTTTCTCCTTGAGTCAGAATAACTCGCGCGAGTTAATCTGACTTTCTCCCTGAGTCAGAATAACTCGCGCGAATTATTCTGACTTTCTACCCGATTCAGATTAAGTCGCGCGAGTTAATCTGAACTATCTGAGTCTAATTCGTTTTGAACGGCTAGTTCCGATGGCCAATCCCGAATTAAGGGCGCGATGTCCAAGCGCACGTGCACCCAGCAGACGCTTCGCGAGAGCTAAACGTTAAGGAGCCTACTCTGCGTGGATGAAAACAACAGTATTGGGATAAACTAGACTGGGGGTTCTGTGATTACCGGTATCGTTTCCCAATTGGGATTGGCCAACAAGGGATTTGCTGAATGCCAAGCTGCGACAGTAAGTGAGTCGGTACGAAAGCTGTGTTCACCATCTTCGTCTGTGATCATTTTACACTTTCTGTCACAACTTTCATGTATCCACTCACCTGGTGTCATTTTCCCCTTCCAGAAGCTCGCAAAACACCAGAGAAAATCTTACAGACATGTCGTACAATTGTGGCCGAGCCTGTGAATTTAAGTGCGTAAAATGTGCGTAATGTTTCTGTAGCACAGCATTTCAAAACGCTTTGAGTGTTATTAACACAGCGTGGTATCTTGGGTAGTAGGGCTTCAACAGCATTTTTATTTGCATAAACATCATGACATTTTCATAATGTCTAACGGCGGGCCAAGCGACTATTGTGAATCTTGACTACGTTGTGGTTTTCCGGCCTCCTCTGTAGCCGAGACACCCGTCTTCGATGCTTTTACTAGGCGGTACTGTAGTTATTGTGAAGCTTTTAAGTTCCACAAGAACAAAGTGCAACTTTTTGTCGGGTGAAGCGAAATCATTTTCCTCTTCTAGTACTGGCGTAATCGAGATATTTAGCGTAGCAGTACCGAACTCCTAAATGTCTTCTGGAATATATCGATTGGTCAAGAGAACTGCAAAACACGCTTCATCGGCTGTTGGTCACACGGACCAACTTTTCGCAAGGGGGTTGCTGGAGCTCCTTGCGAGGTGATGCATCGAAAGTGGCAACATCATAGAATAAATTAAAGCCACACGATATCCTTTCGTCACCTTTTCCAACTCGTAATCTGTATCCTTGAATATGGCTGCATAATGCGGCAAATACCGATGGGCCCCCTCTGCTTTTTCGAGCACATGACGGTTTTCTATTTCACCATCACGACACACTAAAAGACCACCTCCTCGTACACACTTGGTATTGAATCAGAAGTGTCGCTACCAGCCCGGCGTTCCTTTTGGGTCTCTTGGTGCTTCACAAAATTACCCCTCCATCGATTATGAATTTTCTCAAATGAGTCTGCATCGTGACTCCTTTGTAGCCGAGTTGTCCCCCCGCAATTGTCTCCACCAACTTCTCAATGCCGCTCTGTCACGCCGGATTCTTGATTGCTAGCGCGTCTGGTTCCAATTGACAGCCGTGGGTTGTGCTGTTGCCCACGATATTGCCAGTTTTCTGATAATTTGCGACCAGCATTTGAGCTTGTGCTTGACTCAGAGAGAATGATGTCGTACCGAGGTATTTCACCTCTAGACCAGGAGTCGCAGGCAACGTGTCAGCCTTGCCCCCAAAAGAATACACGCCAGCTTCATCGCCGACGCGTCCCAATATCTCGCTAATGTCCAAACATTTAGCCCCTGTTGGTGCTGGCACATCATCTGGTCTGCCTTCTCCGCTAAAAGGCCAAACACCAGACTTGAAGTCTCTCTCTTTGTCCCGTACCCGGGAACGGAGGGGTCATTCCAGGAGCTCTGCCTC